TGGCCTTGGCCATCGCCACTCAGGGAAATGCTCAGGAACGACTGAAGCTGGCAGTGAGGACACGCGCGCGACCATCAGCGCAGCTCGGCGACTTCAGGCCGGGCGCCCAGGTGGACATCTTCAGGGGCCCGCCGCGCATGGACGTCAGGGGCTTGCGAGGATCTTGCAAGATAGTGTCCATGGATCGTGCTGATGAAGGCATCGTGGGCGTCAGGTGGCAGGCTCGGACGCCGCTTTGTCGACCTGCAGACGTTCGACGAGCGATCGCCTGGATCGCTGCGCTGGCTGCTCTGGGACGACGTGATGCTCGGCCTTGCCAGCTCGCGGTGTACAGCGTTGAGCATGTAGCGAAGACGACGACAATGATTTTGGGGTGCGAAATTGGACAGGATGGGCGCTGGAGGTTGACGCGCGCGAGCAGGCGTCTACCCTTTTTGTTGTCTGCAGCCTTTCATGTCGGAGCTTGCGACTTTCATATTTTTTTGGGTTGTTGCTGTCAGACTTGGATTGGGCGCGCGGGAGATGCCTCCCGCTCGCGGCCATCATGCTCGTCTTCTCGCTTGGCGGTTGCTGGGAAAGACTGTCGGCGTTAATCGCGCCAGATCTGATCTTCGGCATGACGCGAATGCTCAGCATCTACGGGGCCCCAACTATGACAGGATGTGTTGGGGGCAATCTATGATGGTGGAAGCTGCGACGGCGTCGGTTCTGGGGCAGTTCGACGCTCATATTCCTCAAGTTGGCGGCCCACAAAACATGCCCGATACCCCCATGCCAAGCGAGGCAAAGGATCCGCCACATCGAAGACAGGTACGACCACGAGAAGGGGCCGAAGAAGATGATCGCCCGGAACATCGGTGGCCGACTCCCGAAGCCACGATTGATGACGAGTCCGAAGCGTCGGAGCCCGAAGCCCGAGGGACAACGCGCCCCCGAGACCCTGATGCTGACCCCGAGCTTCTGCGGTCCACTTGAAGACCTTCCCAGCAGTTGCACGGGATCGAGCCCGACGCGAACTCGGATGTGCAGGACCTGTGGCTGGAGCCATGGGACCCAGGGTTGCGTGGCCAGCTGGAGAACGAGTTCGGGTTCCACCACGCTATCTTGGACAGTGCTTGTGCTCCTGATGCCGAGTGCTGGGTGGGTCCCAGAGTTGTGGCGGGATGAGCGCGAAGTAAGCTACTGGGCAGCCCATGGAGGTGAAGCTCAGTGCGGAGATGGACATGCAGCAAGACCGCTTGGACGCGTTCAGTGCTGCGGCCTCGAGACAAAGCCAGCGCGTCGTGAACATCATTGCCGCCAGTCGCCTTTCAGTGGACGTTGTGGTCTTGCGACGTGGGCAGTGCTTTTCTGGAAAGGGTTTACATATCATGATGTAGCGGATATGACTGGCGAGCCTCTGAGGACAGCGCGGCTGGAGCTGCCCAGGGACGCCGTGAGGTTCGCCCGGCAGTTTGAGCAGTTGTCGGATTCCGATGCGCGCCAACATTGCTTGGAAATGGTGCGTCCTGGTTCCGGTCTGAATTGCGCACCTAGACGTTGGAACCTCAGGCTGAAGCAGGTGATGACCAAGTTGCAGCTGCTTCCGTTGGTTACATTTCCACAGTTCCACTGCAAATGGGCAGGTGCGAGGTGCGAGCCTATTCCTCGAGAGCTTGTACCCCAGGCGACCGATGAAGAGCAAGTCAGAGTGCCCGATGTTTTTGTGGATCCGAGAGACGCGATCGAAGATCTCCAGCTGGCGCGTATCCCGCATGTGGATGATCTCAAGGGTGCTTCCACGGAGAAGCTGGCGGATGCCCTCATGGACGCGCCGGAGGCAGGGTTCAGGAAGCTCACTTGCCAGGAGCGAAGGTTTGACCATTGCGGAGTGATTCGTGCTCAGTGTGATGATCGATCAGCGTGGTGTTCTCAGGATCTTTACGCGGCGCAGTTGAGACCGATGCACGTTTAAAAGACGAGAGAAGATGACGAATTTCTGGAGCAACAAGGCAGGACATCGTTTTGGTTTTTACTCTGTGGAGCCGCCTGGATGCTGGTAACTCGAGCCGACGTTCCGGTTCAAACTGGATATCTACAACGGCATGTAATTGTGTTTAGTTTGCCGCGCCGTTTCCCTGGAGTGTTGTGGCATGTTTTGATAGTGCGTTTAGAGCAACCAAACCGGATTGTTTGGCAGTCAGAGCAGCAGTGGTTGTGATAGCAGGAGTTGATTTCATGCCGATTGGTCGGTTGCGTTGTACGGCGGAGTTCTTTCTATTCGCGACAGCAGCCTAGAGTTTGTCGATCCACTTTTCCCGCAAAATTGGCAAGTGTAGGCTATGGTATCAGCAGCGCTCCATTGACACCGGCGATGATATGTGGGATCGATCATGGGCCTCTTGCTGCAAAGAAAACTCAGTGATGCGTGGGCACCGGTCGATTACCAGTGGACCTGCTTGCGCGCACGGACAACAAGGTCTTGTTCTCCGTTCTTGCTCAACGGAGCTTAAGGCCCCAGCCGAGCCCCACCTGCTGCATTTACTGCGGGCCCTGAGAGATCGGCTGGAAGCTGAGGCTCCACGAGCTCTGGTGGGTGGACACTCGAGCTATGATCAGTGATGCATTGACCAAGGGCGGATCGGTTCGTGAACCGATTCTTCGTTCGTGGGCTACAGCTACCCTGGAGATGACAGGTGACGAGCCGATTGCCATGTGTTTTTGTTTTCATCATCGCAGCTAGCGAGAAGATCGGCTCTGTTTGGGAGCTGGCGTCAGAATCTTGTCGCCCGTGTTCTGTCTGTCTTTTGGGCAGCTTGCCTCTTCGAGGTCGGTTGCCGAGCTCTGGCCTGGAGCCCAGGATCTTTTTATGCCGTGAACATTTCAGCTGGGCCTGCCGCTTTCCAAAGTGTTCAGCAAGTAGACTTGCGCTGAGTTATTCTACACCGAATTAAAGTGCAGGTGTCCTTTCGAGTCGCGGGAGGGGTCAGCAGGATATGTAAAGCATGCGCTGCAGGACGGCAAGACGCTCCGACGGCGTCTTGGCTCAAGCTGGTCAGCGAGAAGCCTTGCAGGAGTGCGAACCCTACCCGCGGCGGCCCCAGCCCCCTCGTTCCCATCTTCAATACTGTTCACGAGCGACTCAGCAATCACGACAACGTTTTCCATCATCAGCCTCCGCTTCGTATCTTTCCCTTCAGGCCTGACCAGCTTGAGGGTGTGCTGCAGATTTGTTCCACCGACGGACGCGCCGGCTTTTCCCGACATCCTCAGTGACTGCCTCCAACTGACTGAGGAAGAGGAGGAGGAGTGCGAGGAAAACAACTGATTTGGCTGGTTCTCGTTCTGCAGCCGGCAGTCGGTGGTACACGGCGGACTCATGACGATGCGTCGGGGTCCATAGAGCCGTATTCAATGAATAAGTCGTCGTACGCCCGTCTTCGGGCCTAGAGTATAGCCGTTGTGGACACTGGCTCAGCAGGCCTGTCCGCCCAGGTCGATCACGGCCTGAGAAAGATGAGAGGTAGATGGCGTACAGACCTCGAGGAGGTCGTAACGACCGCGCCGGACGAGGTAGTTATGGTCGTCGCTGATCTCATTCAGGAGCTCCCTTAGATGCCTGTCGGTCGCATTCATCAAGATCTCGAGGTGGTCTGTCGTTAGCACGTTCCTCGGCCGCGTTTGGTTGAGGTCTCGGCCAGCTCCGAGTCGTCCAGCATCTCGAAGGGTTCGGCTATCAGGTCCGAGATCCTGGTGCCGTCGCTCGACATGCTGCTGCTGTCGCTCGAACTCGTGGTCGTGATGCTTGAGGGTGTCTGGAGGCCGGCGTCCTCCCCGCCTGGGGTCTGCTCCGAGGTCTTGTCGTTCTGGATCGTGTAACCCTCGGAGACGTTCCGCGGCATTCCGTGTTTCAGAAGGGTCAGGCATTTGTGAGAGTTCCCGCCCAGGCAGGAGCATTCGTCCCTCTTGCGACCCAGTTGGCCGCAGCAGCCGCACTTCCGGTAGCCCAGCGCCTTGGACCCCGTCGCGTGGGCCAGGGCGACGTAGTATTCGTCCCCGCAGCATTCGGCATCAGCGCAGACTGAGGCACAGAAGCGAACTCTTTTTGCAGGCCCCGTTACGGCGAGGAGGTCTGGCCGTCTCGTGGAGGTCGCTATGGGTGTCTCCGCTGTAGATCTGATCGCCCTGGCCGTCGGCTGGCGTCCAGGTCGTGCCCCCGCACGGGGAGATGGCGCAGGCGGCGGCGGCAGTGCTGAAGGTGACGATGCCGAGCCAGGGCTGCATGCCATGCGCCGGATCGGAGGTTGGGGGGTGAGATCGCAGTGGAACGGAGACCCCAGCCGGGAAGTCGTTTCGTTTCGTTCGTGTCGTGCGTGCGGGCGAGGCGAAGCTGCGTTGGCGCGCGAGAGGAATGAACCCGCCGTTGCTAGAGCGATGTCAAGAACAATTATTCTCCCTCTCCCGCCCGTCCGGCGCTGGCCCGCGGTGTCTCCAGTGTCCCGCGCTGTCCCGTGGTGTCCCGTTGAGTGAGATCGATAGTGAGATCGATTGAGTCTGATGTTGGTTTCCCCCCCTCTCCCCCCCCCACAACCTCCGTATCACCCGAAGGGTGGTCGTATAGGTATGGAGGGTTATGGAGAGCTAGAGGCTGTGCCGCTCCTGGAGCCAGATGCGCTTCGGACGAATGCGTTTCCTGTAGATCGTTTCCCGAAGTGTCAGATGACTTCTCGTTTCCAGAGGTCGAGCTCGACGGTCCCAGGACGTCCCTACCATGGGTAGGTGTAGATTTCGAACTCTATCTCGATGATCCTAGGGAGTCTCTTCCAGGGGTCGATGTCGGTTCAGATCTCCTCACAGGTCCGATTCTGGCTTCTGGCGTACTATACCATTTCGAGCTGCATGATGTCGGGTGCTTCCTGTTTCGAGTCGGGCTCCCCCGATGGACAGTGACCGTCATTATCACGAACGCCCTCCAGGGGGTGTTGTCCCTAACTCGTGGCCTGGGGCACGCCTGCCAAGTCCTTTGCCGAGGGTCTTATCCTCCAGCGCCAGGGTGGTGCCGATGTAGCTGGCGTTCGGGATGCTCCAGAAAACGGTCTCCCACCACTTGGGAGTCGCCACGTTGATCGCAAGGTGTCCGCTCGGCATCTTCTGGCACTCGAAGGGGTGTGGGGACATCTTAGGCATCATGAGGTATCCTTTCCCGCAATCGATCAGAGCACTCGTCCGGTCGGGCCCCAGCAGGTCCATGCCGATTAGCAGCGGCATTTCATAATCCACGATCGAGAGCTCGACGGTCTCCTTGCCGTCGCCCAGAAAGATGTTGCCGACCATGGTACCAATGGAGCTATTGCGCTGTCCGTCGCCGAACGTGAAGTACCGAGTGGTCTCCCTCGAACTCGAGTCCGAAATTCTCCTCCATGTCATAGGTAAGGTACTCCGCCATGGAGACCCCGATGAGGCTCCGGGTGGCCCCGCAGTCCAGGATTGCCCAGATGCCAGGCACGTCGTCCAGGAGCAGGACCAACTCGCCCAGCTCGAGGAGGGCGAACCACATCGTATCGTTCGGCGTGACCTTGCCGCGGGCCTTGCCACGCTCGGGGCAGTCCTTCGCCTGGTGTCCGTAGTTCTGGCAGGCCAATCACCTCATCCTACGCCTGTCACGCACAGGCTCCTGAGCACTCTCTTGCCGAGGGGGCTGTTGGGAGTCAAGAGTCCGCCGATGACTCTGGTCACGAGCGTCGAGGGGTCGAGGCGCCAGCGCCAGGTAGTAGTCTCGAGCAAGCCTCAGCTTCCGAATCAAGTCGCGAGCCTCCTTGTAATTGCGGCCCATCTGCTTGAGCTCGGCATAGACTCCGTCCTCAGGATCTCCATGTTCATCGGCGTCTCCGATCAAAGCTTCGTCCTCCTCATCAGCGAGGTTGACGAGCTGGTCCACGATATCGGCAATCTCGCAGCGCTCCTCTTCCTGTCGTCGGTCGTCGTTGTACTCATCGGTCTCACCGAAGAACCCATTACGCTTATCCTTCCGCTACTTGGTACCGTCTAGTTCTCGTAGGGCCTCCATTGGATACCGCGTGCAGAGCGCCTTATATGTCCGATCGCAATCATAGTCCCCGCCTGCCGTCGCTGTGACGTCGCAACGAGCAATGGGCGTCAGTCGCGATCGGTGTAGATACCACCAGGTCCGCAACGGTCTTGCGATGACCTCCTTCACCGAACTATTCACTGCCTGCAACTGTGCGAGGAGATCCCGCTCGTGGGCCTCCTAGCCAGCCGTCCAGTCGGGGATGCCTTCTCCAGCTTCACGCTGAAGCTTCTTGAGGAACTTCGCAGCTGAGTTTCCCATCTCGCTCACATTGGTCAAGTCTTACTTAGGGATCAGGAAATCAAAGTCGCGCGTCCAGCCTACCAGCTTCCCTTCGTCTACCTCGTCGATGCGGTCAATGTCTGGACAGTTCTCGGCGAGCCTCCGCGTCCTGGCCCCATTTGCTCGAACGAGCTGAGGCCCAACAACATGTCTGTCCTGGAGCTTGTAGCTCATGCTGAAAAGCCCAACATCAAACTTGCACGCCAGCAACTGATTTTGCTCGTCGTCATCTCGCCGTGGTCCTTCTAATCAAGGCTCTCGCTACCAGTCTGAAACCAACTGGGGCTGCGGGAGCCCTGTCCTTGTCTACGCGTAGACGTCGGAGTTGACGTAGCCAATTCAATAAGCACACACGTTGAGAGCACCTTTCTGCCCTCTCGCACACGGTCCGCGCTGCCCGCTCCAGCGCGATCAGCCTGTCTCACAGGCTGTCTACGTATGAGGAACCCGCCCACCCGTCCTCGTGAGCTCAAATGGCTGTCAGACGGGACGGCTGATGCGCCAATATCTCACATCCTTGATCTTCACAATCAAACCTGCGGCCCGAGCGTGCCAGGAACGCCTGGTGTGCCAGATGCGTCACGTGCTCCGCGTGCGCCAAGTGTGCCGCATACTCCAGCCGCGCCAAGTGCGCCACGGTCGGGAGACGTGCAGAGTGTGTCAGGTGCGCCTGCGCACGTGACACATCTGGAAGCATGTCGGCCCCCACCATCCTTGTCGAAATCCTATGCCCATCATTGTGTCTAGTGGGCCTGCGCACAGCAGGCCATACGCCACCAACCCCGCCGACCCTATCAAAAACCAGTCAACAGGGATCGCGGGGTGGCCGCGCATGATCCAGATTTAGCCGTGAGATGCATTTTTTTATTGTGTTTTGTCAGGGATTGTAGCCCTGCCGGCAGCAGGCAATATGCTGACACCCCCACCGTCCCTGTCAGAAACAACACAACGTGCTCGCTGGCTTCACGAACATGATTCCAGACTTTGGTCAAAGTGTAGGTTGTATGGTTTGTTGACAGGGATGGTCTGTGGTGGGGGGGGGCGCATCGGTTTGGCCGCGCATGCTCCATGTGTGGAGGCAGAGTGCGTTTCGGTTTTGTTGTTCGACAGGGATTGGGGGGCGTGATCATGGTGCGCTCATTTATTCCTGGTTGGCTGCCGGTCGCCTGGGGGAGGGGGTGTATATCAAAAGGGAACAGTTAGAAACCCTTCCTCGAAAAGCGAAAAAGGGGGTTGGAAGAGGAGCCTTCCTAGACCATCTACGCCCAGAGGGCTGGTCGGATGTGTGTCCGAAGACGTTGCATGGCTTCGACGTGCGAGGCATGTGGTTGTAGCTCCTTTTGGCAACAGCTCCTCCTCCGTCTCCGCCTCCTCATTTCTCTTCTGCCTCCTCCCCTTCCCTCCTGCCACCTCCTCCTCTCTCCTGTCTTCTCCTCATCTCTCCTGCCTCCTCTTCCTCGTCTCTCCTGCCTTCTCTTCCTCCTCCTCCTCGTCCTCCTCCTCCTCCTCCTCCCCTGCCTCCTCCTCCTCCTCCTCCCCTGTCTCCTACTACTGTTCTCTGCTCGCTGTTTAGCCACTCCTCCTCCTCCTCCTCCTCCTCCTTCTCCTCCTCCCTCTCCTGCCTCCTCCTCCTCCTTCTCCTCTTCCTCCTCACTCTCCTCCTCACTCTCCTCTTACCACGACGGCGGGGACGGCGACGTCGGGCCGCGGCGCAGGAGCCCCGGCAGCTGTCGGCCGAGGGCCTTTAGTGAGAGCCCCCTGCTTACCCCCCGGGCGCTACGCCGCCGGGGGCCCGGCCGGGCGCGGGCCTACAGTGCCAGACTTCCCCCAGAGTTCGTCTACGCGTAATAGTGACCTTTCACCGGAGTGACCTTCGCTGCGGGCTCTCGGACCCCCAAGCGCTGGCCTGCGTGCTTGGACTTGGCTCCTGCAGGGCCTCTTGAAGCCGCGCACCACAGGTCACTCTTGCCTGAAGTCACTCCTGCGTGCAGCCGAAGAGTCGTGAACAGAGACGTGGCGGGAGGTTTCTGGCAATCTTCGGCCTCCGGGGGCGCGACGGCGCCGGGGGGCCGCGCCGAGCGCGGGTTTCCACCGACCCGCGCCCCGGCCGCCCAGCCGCCGGCCAGCAGGTCGGCGCTGCTCGTGGCGCACCCGGCTGTTTTCAAATTTTTCCGGACGAAGGGGGGAGGCCTACCTTTGACAGCTTCGCGCCGTGGAGCATTATGACAACATCACAATTACATGCGCAGCACCGACGACATGATCAGAAACCCCATTAGCTAAGCCGGCAGAGGTCTCGGGGAATGTCACGGCGGGAGGTGTTTGACATGTTTGTAGCAGTTTTTGGCTTATCGGGGCGGCTGACAAGGGCCCCGGGACAGTAAACAAATCACTCGGGATGAAAAGTCAGTCCCCAGAAAGGGATCTAGATCTCTGGGGAGCCACGTTGCGAACAAGAATCACGACGTCAGATGTTTGGGTTGGATGAGGATAAATCGTCCCAGTTTGACCTGGAAGGCTCCCAGAGCGTCCCTGGACGTTCTGGACGGTGCCGCGGCGCCTGGTACATCCTCCACCCCCGCTGGGTCTCAGAGGTTCCCGATTTATCGTCATCCGAATGTCCTCATCCTGCCGTCGTCGGAAGGACCGCAATAAGGGGCAGGGTTGAAGTTTTCAGGCCCTGACCTCATGGCATATAGGTTCTTCCGATGCGCGGGCCCCTCGGAGTTCTGGACGCCCTCCTTGGAACAAGGTTTCCATCCCGTGCCGTTCTTTTGACGGCCCAGATGCGCGAAACGGGCTGCAGAGGCCCCAGCGGTGTGCATCTGGTCGCCTATATTTTTCGTCGCTAATTACGGATTTGTCGTATCCTCTCTGTTTTGACACAATTTCGGGCTCTGGGAGAAAATGCGCGCCAAGGAACCGTCAAACATGAATCCTGGACGAAGAACTGCTCCCAGGGAAGAGGTCCAGACATTTTGGAGCCCACGGATGTCCGTCGGAAGGTTGATGATGTTTTTCGAGTCGTCCGGAATCACGACGGAAGGTTTTTGCCGATTTTCGGACTCGGGTGCCTTTGATTTGGCTCTTGGGCGGTCTGGAAGGCTCGGGATGAAAAGCTGGCGCCCAGGATTGGGTCGAGACTTGTTGGGGTCACCACGTGAGCAACATGACATCTTGACAGCAGGATACCATCCTTCAACAACACAATGTATTGTACATGACGCGTTCTATTGCACTTACGGGAGGCCACACGGGAGAGCAGACTGCAGTAAGCCATACGGGAGCCCATATGGGAGACCAAAAGGGGGACCACACGGGAGACCAGAAGGGAAACCATGTTGGAGACCATACGAGAGACCATACGGGAGACCGTACGGGGAACCATGCGGACTATACGGGAGACCATTTGGGAAACCATGTGGGAGACCATACGGCTGAACATACTGTTGGCTAGGGGAAACATGGGAGACCACCATGCGGGAGGCCCGTCGGGATGCCTTTCGGGATACCTTTCGGGAGGCCATGCGGGAGACCATGTGGGAGCTCATTGGGCACCGATGCTGGATCCGGAGGAGTCCACACGTGATTGAGAAAAAGTGTTCAAATCGCCTTCGGCGAATCACCGCCGCCCGTTGCCTATGTTGCCGA